CAGATAAATGCACAGTACATAAGATAATTTTTTTTATTTTCTAACCAACGTTTCTGACGAATAGTTTCATTAAATTTGGAGGTATTACGTATTAGTCTGTTTTTTACCAAAAGAATTTTTGGCAATTTGAGCTAGGCAATCTGGTATTCTCGCCAAGAAAAAACCTGGCAATACTGGTTACGAGTTCGTGTTAATTTTTTCATTCTACACCACGTCAGGTTTCTAGATTGAAGAACTCCAAGAAAGAAAACATACAATATTCCAAGAAACGAAAGAAACATGATTTGTGAATATGAAGATAGTGGTGTTTATTTATGCAAACCGCTAGTCGTGGGTGTTTTCTCCAGAAATTTCTGAAAAAAAAAATATAAATGCTAACTTCTAGAAATACGTTTTTTTTGTTTCACTAGAACATGACCTCGCGAACATGAAATTGGGGGGCGCAGTCGTGGGGAACTAATTCAGCTCCTACTACGCAATTAACTCTCTTAGTAACGTAAATCGGAATAACGAGAACTGTGATGTTAACTAAAACGTACTCGATTTAACTCGCTTCACGTGCAGTTTTGCGACATATTTACATTAACAAAATAATATACAGTATTTAATTGTAATATGCTCAGTTGTAGGTGATATGGTATTCGTCGGACTCCCTGGCGCACTACCTCGCGGCAGACCCGATCTCACAGGGCAGGGGCAAGAAGCTCTTCGTGTTCGAGTTCTCTTACCCATGGTTGCTCTTACCAGTCCATGACGCGCGACGATTCATTGCACGGCAAAGTTAATAAAAAGCGCTGTAAGTGCAAGTAAGTACTATTTTTGAAAAGTTAGTTGACAAATATTATAGTGTCTGGATGACGTTCTGAATGGTGTTTAGTGCTAGTTCTGAATGATGTTCTCAGCAAATACTTCTTGAATGCCAACATGAATTAAATGCTTAAATTTTCGGTAAACCTTTCCAGTCGCCTAGAATCGAGTTGATTGCAATGTATTATCGCTTTATTTCATTAGATGTGCAGAACACTGAGGATTTTATTTACTTGTTCTTGGATCCGTTCGACCGCTCGTGACTGGCACCGGAAATAACGTCGACCGAGGACCTCGCGATGCGAGACCTCATGGTTGATCTGTGGACCAACTTCGTTATAACTGGGTGGGCTATTTCTACATTTATTTACGACTGTTCTTCATATATTATGGGGTCAAATAAGTTGAATAAATTAATTCAAGTTATTTAAAAGGCATATATTACAGCATGATTAAATGATAACCTGACTTTTTGAAGCTTTAAGCACAACAGTTTTCTAATGATGTAGCCGCTCCTCACTCGCTCGTTCACAATACGTTTGGGCAGAACCTGCGATATATAAGGAGACCAGTGGCAATAGTTATCTTCTCCTTCTATTTTCCCTTGAACCGCATATTTTCGTCCCAGAAACCCCCCACACCCGACGGCCACCCAGATAAATGGCGACACGACATCCCCCGTCGCTCTTTATCTCGTCATCCACGAGGACTCGACAATAGATCAGTCCGATCCTAAGAAAGTGGTTTGAATTCAGTGCACAAAAATTATCTAGAAGAATGCTTCAATAGGCCCAATACTAATTTTACACGACTGGTTGGAAATTAGCAACATAGATGCGATTGTCCTTGGATCCGTGCCTCAAGAACATACAAATTTCAAATTTATCTTAATAAGTTTGAATAATTGTGAGACAAGTTCTAATAGAAGCAGTTTATTCATTTTTAAATGGAAAAATTCTATGTTTGTAACCATTCCAGGTACGGAAATTTGGGCGACAACTTCCACTAAAGATGATCTTTGTTCTGTCTGCCAAGTCAGTCTCCAACGTTCCATAGATCGCAAACCTCAAACACAACAATGATAAACTGCCACCGGGCAAATGTGCAGTACGAGAACAACCGTATGCCGATAAACCACTACGTACTCCATTAAAACATTCTAAAGGAATAATTATGTATAATTCTAAATTAACTACCAAAATATAATGTTAATTTTAGTGTTGGCTACCTATCGATTAACCTTGATCCGACTGAAGCAACTTCGTATGTAGTCCGCTTAGCCACCAATAAATTTTCCTGTAAACGCACAAGATTTTCGATTAAAAATGAATCGTCTGTCTGAGATGCCGGTTAGCTCGTTGATTGTGCGAGGATGCCTCAAAAAAATAAATTTAGGTAGAACTTTTCAGGTATCAGTACTACTAAAAGTCATTGCAATATTTCATCGCCCCGACTGCAGCCATGGGAGAAACCTTAAAATTAATAGAATTTTTCAGCCAGAACAGTTGCGAATTTCGTTTTCCTTCAGGATTGCTGGAAGTTTTACTGAGCAGGTCAAGTTTATATCAAGGTACCTTGTTGATTTTTGCGAGAATTGTGATACTTAGGCAGTTCAGTAAAATGTTATATTAATTTTGATAAGGACCATTTTCCTTTGACAATTGAACTAAATTCTAAAAAAAATATCTAACATGGAAGAATAATACGCATCGTAGATGAATTATTAATTTACAAAAAATATTAAAAGAATTCAATAAAATTATCCATAACATGGTATTAGATGCTTAAATCGCAAGTTGACTAAAAATTTAAAAGCAAAGAATAGTATTAGATTACAAATAAAGAATAGTACCATTAGAAGAATGGTATTAGATTCTGTATGAATATGATAATTATGCCGTTATTCAACATGACTCGAACGTTTCAACTAATGTTCTCTTAAATTCAACGATTTATTAAGAAGTCTGTACCCAGAAGTTGAACCGAACCAAGTTACTGTTAGCTTACTTGGTTTCGGACCACAAAACACCAAGTTGATTGACTTCGTTGCGCTGGTAATAAATGGATACAAATCAATACACGCTCTGGCATATTGGAGTAAGTAAATTATCAGATTATTTCATGCGTTGGAAGACATCTGTGCCATATTACACTTGGATTCATGATCGAATGGGTCTGAACGTTAGAAAATGAGGAAACAATGGGCAAAAGTAATGAAGCAAGGTTAAAGATTTAATTTTGAAACATTGCACATATACTTGAGAACCACGGAAACCATTTTCACCAAATTTTACAGAAACAGTAATGACTCCTGTCGATATAAGTTTTGGCCAGATGATGTTGATTATCTAGAGTCAACATCATTATCTGGCAAATATTATATGGTCAGGAAACTGTGATCTGCCCAAACTAGGGGACGGTCTCAATTGCCAAATATTTACAAAAATTAAAAACTGTCGTCAACTATAGGTATGCAGAAAGCCTCTCCAGGCCAAAGTACTGAAACTATTTAGTGGTAAAGTACCAGCGGTAGCACTTCACTGGAATAAAAATGATGGGTGAACAGCAAAGAAAAAGACACTTGTACAAAAAATGCTTCACACAAGACGTCGGTCACTAGCGCAAAATAAGGACGATAGGAAAGTACAAGGAATTCTGCCTGCATTATAACTAGACTGCACCCACCGATAGAGACCACGAGCTCTGTGGTGATCTCAAGCACAGTGCCCTATGGAATGTAAAAGCTCTTCAGACCTGCATAATTTGAATCTAAAGAAACAACATCTTAACAAACACATTAAAACAGCAAAGGAAAAATCATTATTTAGGCATCTACTGGTAGTATGTAAGAATGTTAAGCTCATTTCATTCAGAAGCATTATACCAATATTCTTTTGTTGCAATTTCAGCATATTCAGAAAAAAATGCATAATAAACACACCAAAATGTAATGGAATGTAATGTAATTCTACCAAATTGCATAGAAAAATTAGGGTTAGAAGATTATAAATTTTCATTTGATAATAATTAATGGAAAAGACAGACACACTTCTCAAAAATTTCTCAGAATGGATTGCTATTCAGAGGAATCTTGTTTTCATTAACATATAACTCAGATGCACTCACATTAATTGCTCGTATATGGTACTAAAAATTCATGTTGCAGCAACAATAAAAATATAAATTTAGTTTTCCTTTGAGCTTTAGCAGATTTTCATCACAAAAATTAGGTATAGAAATCAGATCTTGTAATTCTCAGTAAAAACCACTTTCAAAGCAATTGATTAGGAAATATTTGCTGATTTGTTCTAAGCTGACACATTTTTAAGGGAGAAGGGAGACTAGCTGTTTGATAGATCAGCTTCAATATTGCCTTAAATAAGACAAAAATTGTATGGTCTCTCTAAAGATGCTGTACATTTTATGCTTAAAAGATCAAGTGAAAATAAATTAAGTTCATGGTCATCACAAAATTCTTCAATAATATAATTAAATGGTTTTGAAGTGAAGTGTATTAATCAGTAACTAGGTACCTCTTTGGAAATATTTTAATAATTTCATCTGGGTCAAGATCACAGATTTATAAGTCATGCATACAACAAACAAAAAGTATGAGGATGGAATGACTTAGAGGCATCACATAAGAAATAAAATACATAAATATTTCACATTAGAGACTACAGTGAGTGCTGTCTTATTTTTCTTGTTGCATCTCTTCTCGGGCCCTCTTATTCTCAGCTAAGATTTTGCGCAGCTCATCAACTATGCTGTCACTCCTTTCTTCAAGAGAGTCAAGTGCTTTATTGATTGAATCCATTTTGTTAACCAGATCAGCAACTTCTGAAATGTAAATAGACAGCTCTTAAAATATTGAAAAATTTTCATCTCGGGTTATAGCATGAATTAGGAATCAACACAACACCTAATTACAATTACTCTAATCAAATATTACAGCTTTTACTGGTTGGTATTTTTTTACAATATAATACACATAGTGCAATGATAGTGGAAAACAAAAACTTTTTAGACCATTCCTAAAGTTAATTTTTTTAACTCCTATTAGTAGACAAGTATCACAGATGAAAATATTATCATAGATAAAATTGTGATTGAAATCACAAGATGAGTAAATTAAAAATGAACTAATTACAAAAAATTTGTATTTGCCATCATGAATGCATACTTACCACCATCAGTCAAATCTTCACTTGTTTCTGTGGCCAAATCTGCTCTTGTATTAACAATGTTCAACGCCTGTGCCATCTCTAACAATTCATCATTGAGTTGATTTATTTGACTTGGATAGTTATGTGTATTTTCAGTTTCATTTTCTTCTTGTGGTATTTGAGGACTTTCGTCCAACTTATCTGGATCATTCAAATTGTTTTTCATGTTTTCCTGCATCATCAAAAAGAAAAAAGATCAATATTGTAGATATGAACAGTTCACTTCAAATATCACAGTGATAAACAGTTTACTTAAGTGAAAAAAATCTTGAGGCCTTACCTTACCCTACAACTTTACAAGATATTGAAAACTTTCACAAATGTGGTTGGTTGGTGGTGGGTTGAAGGTGAAGAAGAAATTGCATGTTGACCGCTTGTAACACCTGGACTCAGCAAATGTTATTCAGTTTAAGTCTTCATCATTTTTAATTTTGTTACCTTTTCCTTTCTTCTGGTGCATTCTCTCCATGTAATCAGTAGTCTCTCACAATTTTAAGCAATGGGTGACAAAATCATTATAAGATTCCTTGTTCTTCACCAGCTAAGAGGTAGTTAGACAACCTGTTTGCATGAGGTAAGTAGCAGTTGCTTGCACTATGGAGTATTGAACTCTCCTGAGGTAATTGCCTCCAACGTGAAGCAGCTGCACAGATATTAGGAGGACTCCCAGGCATGCATACTTGTCACTTGATACTATCACATGTCTCTCACAGTTGTATAGAGCACATGTAAGGAAGAAGTGTTCATTGTCTCTTCTTCAATGTTGGTATGTGATAGCTTGGTGATGATACTCCAGTACTGGTCCCTTGATCCATTTAGAAGTGATATATTAGAAGACAAAGAAGAATATATTAGAGGACAAATTAGAAGAAGTATATTAGAAGATATTCACAACAAATCCCCATGTTGTACAGTATGAGTTAAACTCATCCAAGTATCTCTGTATGTGACTAATGGGAGAGCAGACAGCATGCATAGTTGGGCTCCAGCAATAAATGTTGATATCGGCGGTGAAGAAAACTATTACCTATCTACTGGAATTTTTGAGGATTACCTGTAAATCTCCTTGCTCAGTTGTGGTTGGCAACCAAATTGCATCTGCTACAGCAGTGGTACTCTTTCAACTTGATTGCTCAATAGCTGTTGGGACTTGTGATTAATCTGGAATTGGGTGGCTTCTAAATCTCTCCTGACTGACCTGACATATCTCAAATGGCAATGGGCACACTCATGCGCTCCTGACATACCACTCTGAGTTTGTACGTGTCGCCATCTTGGGATGGGCCAGGCTGTAGAGTAGGGCCTTTTAGCTCGAGATATCGGCGTCTTTTCAAGCTCTCCATCAGCCACATCGACCTTAAATTGGCGTCCATGGCCGATCATAAACTATGGCTCAGGCAGCCATGACCGACCATAAACTATAGATTGCATGATCAGCCCCGCTGTCACCGCGACCATCTTCAGCTTGTTTGATTGCTTGTATCTGTCACCCGATCACAATGTGCATACATCTGGCAAGCCCAATGCTACTGCTGAAAAAATTTGTCAATCTATTGTGTTCTAACGTGATCTATTGTGTTCTAACATGATCTATTGTGTTCTAACATGATCTATTGTGTTCTAACATGATCTATTGTGTTCTAACGTGATCTATTGTGTTCTAACGTGATCTATTGTGTTCTAACATGATCTATTGTGTTCTAACATGATCTATTGTGTTCTAACATGACTTATTGTGTTCTAACGACCACATGTCGGTGATTCGAAGCGAGAAGAAATTTTGTCGCGTGGAGAAGTTGCAGCGCAGTTTTTTTTAGCTTATAGCCGTGGCCCCTGGTGTTGATTCTTGGCCCTTGTTGGATACACAAGAAATCTGTTCAAATCTTGAGTAAATGAGGAAATTAAAAATGAACTCATTCTAAAAAATCACTGGTCTGCCACTATGATCACCGGCCATCAGTCAATCACTGTCCATGTCCAATTTGTCCATCCATCACCGACTTCACCGTGACGTAAGAGTCGTAACCATTCTTCTCTGAAAGAGTCAGAATTCAGAAAGACTGTAGTGTAGTGTATGTACCATAATTTCCTTTTCTTCTTAGGAGATTCTTCACTCATAATGACCGCTGTCCGTTGCGCTGTTCTATTAAGTTTATTTAATAAAAAAAAAACAGGAACAAACAAGCTATGGGTTTCAAGACAGAATGGCAGCACAGAAGTCTGCACTACACACTCGCACAGAGATGGCTAGTCAACTGAACTGCCTCTTAATTTTTAACCGAAACGCACGAGAACTGTACGAGTTCTGTACGAACTTGCACCAACATGTATTAGAAATTAAAACAAGTAGTATTTTCATTTTCTTGACGAAAATAATTGATTATTTTTCGCTGTCAATGTTTTTCTCAAGAAAACTTATATTTAGATCACTTCATAATTTAAAAACCNCTCAGCGTAAATGGCTTTTCATTAAAAATTACCCGGCGAGACGCATCTTTAAAATGGCCGGCGACGCTTTGGGCTTAAAAATCCATATATTGGCAACGCTGCATCCACCCTCTGCATAGTGGTCTAGACTAGAGATTTTTCTTACAAATTGAATGGTATATCTCTCAATGCTTTACAGTCTGTACTGCTGTAGCTTGAAAATCATAAGAAAAGATAGGTTTGCAATCAGAAAATTTCGACTTTTCAGAAGAGACAAAAAACTGAAATTTGTGATCATTGAAGGTATAGGTTTTAGTGATGCTTTGATGGTTCATGGTTGTTTTGGTTTTTGGATGAACAAATGCATGCATAAACATCACTTTAGAGTTTAAATGCACAGTATTTGGCCTTTGAATTGATGAGCCTAAAAACCAGAGATGCCAAAATTTTTTATTTTGGCTGAAACACTTCCCTTCAGTCTTGAGTAGATCAGGGAATTTGAAATGAGTTGATTCTAAAATAATCTCTGGTTAACTGGTTTCAGTGGTTCGACACTATAATGAAAAGGAGGTATGAATATGATCATGTCTCATCGACATCATCTCTACTTACTTGGTTACTTGGTTAAGATGAGGCGCGTCACCGACTGAAGTATTGGCGCCCCCATTCAGCATCTTCGTGGATTACTAAATTTTGTCAAGCATGTTGGTGTCTTGGAGGTACTTGATAATTATATCAGCAGGAAATTCAGGGGCTATGAGCGAGGACAGGCTGAAGGAGACAACATCATCTCAAGATCTCATGCTGGCCGGAAGTTCGGAACTCGGAGTAATGATGGTTGACGGAGCTGCACGGAGGTCGGACCGTCGGAGTTGAGAGTCTGTTATTGTAAACTCTAGACCTGATCCATCTGGTGATGGTGAAGCACCCGGGACATTAAAGTCTTGACCCTTAGATGAATTGATCACTGAGGGACCGTTAACATTGGCACAATTCAAGAAAACAAAGAGGTTTGCTGGCAGCCCGCTTTTGACAATGGTTCAAGACTTCAAGCTTCTCTCCTTCCACAGCTGCCGAGCTGTGAATGATTCAGATCAGCTGACTTGGTGAAGGTAAACAAACATGTCGCACAGGGTAAAACTTTACAGTAATTTGCATCAATGACGTTATGACCTTGGGTGTCAATAAGTTTCAATTGATATGATATTTGGATAGTTACGTACAAATTTGATTTTAAAAGTGTAAATATGCGAAAAACATCACATTTAAAGGTTTTAATGGATTTTCAAAATGATTATGATTTTTAGTGTGAAATTCAGGGTAGAATATAAATACGATTATTATGATACATTGATACGAACAAATGCACGCCTCTGAGAGGAATAATATAAATAGACAATCAAAGTTCAAAACTTGTGGCCCTCTTTCATTTTAGTCTCAAAAAATATAGGATAATTCAATTAATGATAATTGTTTACTATTACTAAATACTTTGCTATTAATGTTGCTACCTAAATGAGTTGCTACCCTGCGGCCTCCAACAGATCAGAAACAAACTGTCTTTTCGAAAACATTTGAAAAAGAGATTTTTTTGATCTTGTGACTCGGTGAGTGGAACTTAATTGCTTTCTATTCATCCATCGCTTTAATTCAGTCTTGTTTATTGCTATCCATTCATTATCTGTACGTTTTTTATGCATGTATGAAGTTTAATCCAACAAGTATTTACGTTTACCTAATTATAATATATAAACCAAGCTTTCAGGATTTGACTCTGAGGATCCCATCATCCCATCCTGACCAATTTACATTTTCAGGACAATATCATGTGAATATCAACTTTGAAAATCTGTTGAAATCATTGTATACAGTATATGTCTCACACTTTTTAGAAACTCCATGAAAGTGATGAAACAATTGTTTAATTTCTCATATTTTTTGAAAGGATAAGTTGTTATCTATATATCATTATAGGTATGCAAATGCAATATTATAAAATTCATTAAATTGGACATGTAGGTATAGCATTTACTGATTTAGCAATAACATCAAAAAAAAATTTACTTTAAAATGCAAAAAATATATTGAAATATGATGTACATGATTTTGAAACTTAAATTTTGAGAAAATAGTAATGTTTTCTGTTTAGTCATGATGGCAACTCAATTTACAGAAAAAAAAGGCCAGTTCTGCAGCCGCCAGAGGGTGGACCAGGCCCCAGTGGGCAGTGGTTACAGTTCAGACTTCAGAGTAGTGAGAGTACTGGGATTGGAGCAGAGATTTACATCTGAAAGGCTAAAAGCAGTTGTAAATCATTTTTGCAAATTCTGCCTCCTAAACCATAATTATTACTATTTACTAGATGTTACCATTCACTTACCAACCATTTTTAGAGCTATAATTAGAGCTCACACACCATTTTCAGAGCCAATAGATTCCTGCTAAATGGATTACCTCCTATCTTGAACTGTTAATAAAAGAGCACAATCAGCTTGCAAGATTTCAAAAATTCAAATGTATTGAAGTTTGTCACTTTGGAGCTGCAAGATTTTAGTATCAGGTAGATAAATTCCAATCCTGTCCTGCAACTGGATCTTTTCTCTTAATGTTTGGAGCCAGGAGAATGAGGAGATCCCTACTAGATCTAGATCAATTATCTCCTCATTCTCCTGTCTAATTTTTTTACAAAAAATAATGATCAAGCCACAAGATTTCTAATTCAGTGAAAAACTGAAAATAGTTCACTTCAAACCATTCAGACACTGGTACACTAAATCACTGACACTGAGACATGTAATTAATCAAGTTCAGTAAGACTGAGTAACTGAACATCTAGTCACTAGTGTAGACCAAAATTTAGAAATTGTACTGTAATTTAACACCTAACAATGAAGACATTTATTCTCATCAGAGCCTGATAAAATCTTCTTAACACATTGACTCCAAAGTGGTACATATGCAAACCACGAAATGTATTTCTTCAGGACATAGTGGGTACATAATTCAGGTTGCCTAAAATCGGCCAAATCCGAGAACAAAAAAGGCCAATAACTCAATATATACTAGTAGTTTATTTGTAGGTTCCGCTATAAAAATTCCATTTATTTTCTTTTTGCAGTAGTTAAAATTTAATTAGGAAGTACCCCTATCATAAATTATAGCCAGCCAACGCAATTGAGAAAAACTAAATCACAGAATTTGTCTGGAAAATATGACCACCTGGCAACCCTGTTTAAAAACAGTACAAAAAATGAAATAATAGTACAAGATGAAGCAATTGTAGTCAATGTGTTAAATTTTAACTTGTAGATTTTGTAATAAGAATTTTTCTGTTTGACTATAATCATTGCATATTATTCCCAGGTGTCATTTGAATACCTAATCAAAAAATAAATTATCTGTTTCTTACAGTTTAACTAATGCCATCATGGCTACATCTTCAAACTTATCCTGCAAAGTATCATCAAATAATGTCAGCTCAAGAACTGGAAGCAGAGTAAAAGCAGGAGAAGTTATTATTTCATCATTTCCCTTCATTCAATTGTTGAAGGAGGATAGTAAAGGGAAATTGTGTGACTTCTGCTTTAGAAGGTATGTATGCAAATAACTAATTACATATACCAGTATGTACCTAATGACAATGTTGCTGATAAGGTTCAGTTGAAAAGTGTACAAGTCAATAAATGGATTTACTGACTACTGAGTCTTGGTTTCTTGTGAAACTTTCTGTGGCAAAAATAAAACTAGAATTTCTGCCTTGACATTCTCTTGATGCTTATACTATCAAAAAATCCATCCCTGTATGTATTTCATGAACCTATAGTTACGCAGAGTTAAGTACGTAGTTAGGTATAATCCTTGAAATATATCTAGAAACCTCAACACTACATTAATAAGTTATGTTCTATGGCATGTAATTTCGCATGAAAATCCCAAAATCATTTCAATCTCATAAATTGCTTTGAAGCAGATTATTTATTAATCACTGTTGCACAAAAATTCATGTTTAAAGCTGTTCTGGAATGACCTAAGCCTAAACAACATTATACATTTATTGCCAGATAATAGATATGAATTGATAATTTTTAGAATCTACTTCTATTCTTTGATAGAAGCTTTTTTAATAATAGGTGCAAAGTGCCTATCTATGTATATAACTGTTGGATGCTGAGTAATAATTGAGGTTAAGTAATATATTTTACAAGTTACAACCAATAAACTGTAGCAAGTTAACAAATATATAAATTAATATATAGTATATGATGCCATACATTACATATCTAAGATATTTATCAAAACAACATTTATGATGACAATATCTGTGGCTTTGTGTTTATTTTTTACTGGTTGTTGCAACAGAATGTCCTCTTGAAATTTTTAATTTTGACTAATATTTGTTGTTTATATTATCCAGTACTGGAAATTATTTGATTAAACCATAAAATCCTGTATTTTCTCAATAACTCTCAAACATATCTTTCCTGGGCAGTGGAAAAGTGCGCAAGTGTACCGGATGTGCTGTGGATTTTTACTGCAGCGTGCCATGCCAACGGAAAGATTGGAAAGCGACTCACAAATATGAATGTTCTTTACTGAAGAAACTTCAGCCTCATAGTATAACAGGAACTCCAAGAATGTTAGCTAAAGCCATAATTTCTCTTAATGTGAGGGTTTTAAACTCATTTATTTGTTTAGAAAATGTATAAATAAATTATAAAAATTTTGTCCTTCATAAAATATTGAAATTATAAATTATAATTGTTAAAAATTATTATTTCAGTTCTAAAAATACCGACCTTTGTACTGATGGTAATGATACTGGTTATCAGTGCTGGTTATTTTATTGCTTTGAGCCAGAAACACTAAAGCTGCAACTAAACATTCCCCTAAGAGAAAAAAACCTGAAAAATTTTACTCAACTATTCATGTCATGGTATATATATCTTATTCTATGTTCACTTATACACATGATTTATGATAAATTTTATGGAAAGAATATAAGTCGAACCTTTAAGAATTTTCTTTGTAGTTTGCAGAACACATTCCAATTATACAGTCTCTAGATATTTAAGGTGGGTTTAGTTGTTTCTTCTTTTTTGTTCCTGTTTTAATAATTTCCATGATTCTAAGTTGTCTGAAATCTTCTTGTTTAAAGAAAAAGATAATAGCAATGTTGTATCAATGGGACTGGATAGCAAAATTAAACCTTGGAGTACAAAAATTTTTATTTAATCACTAAGCCACTCTTCTAGAAAATGGATTTATCATCATACACAATATATAGGTAATGCTTGGTCTGTCCAAATTGTTCATAAAATGTTGAACAACTAAGCTTTGTGCATTTATATAAATGTATCTGAAGTGCCTATTTGCTTCAGTCCTGCAACATTGAAGTTAATAAAAAATGCGACTTTTGGATGTATACATTGATACTGATAAAAAATGCCAAATTTTTTCTAATTCTGAGTACTTGGAAGCACTTTTTAATTGTAAAATATATTACATACATATAATGTATTCCAAAACGTATTATGTATTCCATGTTATAATGTAGGTACCATTCTATATATGCTCTTATGTTAGTATATTTGATCTGTAAAAATTTTCTCATGTTAGCCTTATTCCACAGAATGGTGGCAGGAGTGTTACTGAGAAAATTGATGACAATCTCACTCGGAGTTTTGGTGACTTGATGACACGTAAGTCACTTGCTCTGGTGCTAACCTGTTTGCTAGTACGTAATTTTTGATATAGTATGCAACTGATCTTACAATCAAACATGGTTTTTGTTCATTGATTTAGCTTTATCTAATTATTTTTTTTATTTACAGATGAAGAGTGCCTGCTGCAGAACAATGAACTTGCTGAGACGTTTGGAGTTTTGGAAAAAATGCTTCGCTGCTATTTTGGAACAGAAATTTCCTTCAACACCAATGAGTTACTTTCCATTTATGGCGCTGTAAGAAAGATCAATTATTAATAATTTTTCTCCTAGCACTTATAATTAGCTCATATACATACTGATTTAAAATTTGACTTATTTACTCATAAATTATCTATCTTTATCTAATTACATGAATATTTCCTCAGTGGTAAATTCAGAGAAACGCTCATTATTTACCACAAAAATTTTTTTGACTCCTCTTCTCTTACAATTTGTAGTCCTATAAATTAACTGCTGAAAATGTATAAAAATTCACAATGAATGGTTACATTTGTGATTTAATTTTAAGAGGAAATGTATTCTTAGTTAAAAGGAAATTTCTTAGATTGTCAACCTTGTAGCAGTCGCTCTGTGCAGTTGTGCTATTTCAACTCTAATGTATCTGTTTGCCGTGCAGCTGCTGGTGAATGGCTTTGGTGTGACCAACTGCGAAAGTGAAGAGATAGGAAGTGCTCTCTATCTTGCTGCTTCTATTCTCGACCACTCGTGCCTGCCCAACGCCGGAGTCACCTTTGATGGATCCCGCATTGTTGTCAGAGCATTGCAAGACTTCCCTAATTTCCAGTGGTCACAGGTAATTATCCTTCGTGAATTATTGTTTAATGCATATGTACCTAATGTTTGTTTTGTGAATGAAAAAGGAAAAATGCCAAGGAATTAAAAGAGAAGTATTGAATTTCATTCTTTTTGTGACTCTCCAGGCTCTCTTGGATGCTTTATTTATCCTGCAAGAATATCAGACAGGTTCAATGAATTTTCCAGATTAATATCAACTACATTGACGGCCTGACCTGCAGAGAAGACCGACAACGGAGCTTGCAACGAAGTTATTTCTTTGAATGCCACTGCCAGAGGTGCGTTGATCCTGAGCACAATGAGCTGGAGAACTCGTTTCTGTGTGGTAAGAATTTACATTGGCCCCTGTATAATCTTTTTGCTTTCTTGTATATATTTGTTATTGTATAAGTTAAGGTGTAAATAACTCCAAAAATTGTGCCTACTCATAACATGTTTAGATTTTTTCTTAAATCTGTTTATTGGAAGTCTCCTGTTGCTGAAAATACGTATATATGACACTCATTTTTGATGGAAAATTTCCCCTTTAAAATCTCTCTTGGTTGCAGGAAACGACTCGTGTGTGGGCGTGTTGGGCGTTGGAGTGACGACCATTGCCAGATGCGCAAGGTGTGGTTTTGATGGCTACTCTGAGTGTGCTGTGCAGTACTGGAGGGTAGTTGCCAGGTGTCGCCAACTGCTTCAGGATGAAATGGGAAATGAAGTCAAGTGTTGTATCCTTTATTATCGATAACATCATGATTGCTCTGGTCGATAACTGTTCAAACTGTTGAAAGGATTCTATTTTTAAACGTTTTGTACCTTCGTATCAGTCCAACTTTAACAACGATTTTCTAGTTATAATCAAAAAGATATTTTCTGAATCACCCTCATAATTTTCGAAATTTGTAAGGTTCTGACCTCTGACAATCGTGACTAGTATCAGATGAATACATTTCTTGCTGTCCACGGGTCCGTCTGTCGTATACGGTACTATACCGTATATGTTGATGAAATATTTGAGCAAACATTGAAGAAATAACTACGATGAACAGGTATTGGTAGTTATTTCACATTGAAGTACTCCCATGACTCGAGTGTATGTACTTTCAGAGCTCCGAGTGTATATATTTAAGTGCGAATACTTTTTAAATAAAAAAGCATATAAATTTCCTCTTCTCCCAGTGAATTCTTATTTTGAAGTCGGTCATTGAAATCATTCACCGTGTTACATAAGGTATTTTTGTAGCCCACGAAGTTTGGTTACCATTATCCTTTATTCCGGACAATAATAATTTCATTCCGGTATTTTCTTTAGCTTAAGTATTTCAGCTTTAGATGCTGCTACAGACCTTCTCCTGGAGCTGTGCTCTGTTGGAAAAGTAGCATCAAGAAAGTCAACAAAAACCCCCGTGGACCAGTCTCTGGTGAGGGCTATCCAAGGCTGCGCACTGCATCCCTTCAACATATGGCGCGTCAAGGCTGTAAACGCGGTCAACGAGGCTGCCATTGTCGAGAAAAATTTCAACCTGGCCAAGGATGTTGGTCTCACAAACGTTGATGCAATGAGGTTTGTCTCGTAGCATTACAAAAAATCATGATGCATTACAATCTAGGGTCTGGAATGCTTTGTGTGTCAAAGTATCGGAATTTTTTGGTCACTTTCAGCTGAATTTTCTATTTGTTCTGCAGATACTACTACGGCAAGAATCATCAGACATACTCGTTCTTCCTAGCAAAGCTGAGCAAGCTGTGCGTGTACTGCAACGACCTGTACAAGGGCGAGGAGCTGCTGAAGGAGGCACAGGTCAGCGTCCGGGTCAGTTACGGCGACCAGCATCCGATTTATCATTCTGTGTCTGAACTGTGCCACCAAACCAGGGTGGAACTGGCGACCTTGGCAGTTCCTGCATTAAAAACGTAAAGCTATGCACTGCGGCGAGAGCGTGCTGGAATTTGACGGATGAACCTTGCTCTAGACCCACGAAATCTTCGCTGCATTGAGACTGTTAAATCATATTACACTGGGATTAGACCCTTGAATTTTGTGGTGGAATTAGACTGTTGAAGCTTGTACTGAAATGAGTCTATCTAAATCTTGCTCTTACGTGAGTATGTAAAACCTAGTCCTGAATGAAAGTATGAAACCTATAAAAAACGGAGCCTGTGAACCACGCCTATAAATCACTTGATTCATGGATATGAAAACTTTTGATCGATCAGAGACAGCGTCTACATGGTGAGGGTCAGACAGATGACACAAAAATGCAAAGACTGACTAAAAAATCAAAGCTTGATGATATTTTATTCCCATGTCTTTGTAGGAGGGAATTAGTACAGAAGTGGGCAATATGAGAGTGTCTTTGGATTACAGATTGTACTCACATAACGCAATACGTTCATTCGAGTAACTATTGTAAGCATTTCTGTCCAGACACTTTACTTACCCAAAAAAGTAATAGCTCTGATAGTTGTGGAGGTAGAATGTTACAAAAAGATTTCAAGTCTCTAAATTATTTTTGATTAGAATTCGATAGTACATTATTCTTTGACTTCGGTTCGACAATGACTACCTCGATTTTTCTCCTTATAAACCCGTGTGCGTGTTTAAACAAATATAATTATTCGACCATGATTGGCCGAATTTCTCTAGTTTCAAGTTCAAATTGTTAGTAATTCCATCTGCGGAGTTCTACCTATTCTGAAGCTGCAAGAAAGCATCTTTTCCTTGCTAATGCACTTGTTGCTTCCTATGACTCGTGTATCTCGCGCGCCGCCGTGTATTTTGAAAAGCTTTTGCAGTATCTTGTTTCGAATTATGTTGTGTTGTTTCGTTCTACTTGTGGTAGACGATAGTTTGGTTGGACGAAGATTGTTCTGTTTCTATTTTCTTCGGTTGCACTCAGTGTCGAATGCCTTTAGGTAAGAAAATCTTCAATGCTCTCATGACTCATGAGACTAAATTGTGAGGAATTGACAATTGTAGTATTCGCTGTACAAGCACATAGCATGCAGCAGATTTTCCCCGTCAAATGCTCTGTTGGCCCAATAGCTTTGCAAGAGAATGTATGGGGCGGTGATTTAATTGATTGTGTTTGTTATTTTTCACCTTGTCCGCACAGTTATTAAGTAAAAAAGACAAGAGTAGTGTATGACTACTATTCAGCGTTGGTCTAAACTTGTCATTTGTAATTTTAGATCTAATTATGCCCTAGTTCATGCATTTAGTGTTGAGTTATTTCCATGAAATGCGCCCTTGTTTCAAAGGTTATAAATAGTTATGGCTGTCTCACTATTCGAATATGGAATATAGACTATAATGCTAAAACTTACGTTTGTACGTCAGAGGACCGTGATCAGAAACGAATGAATTAATCGTAAGTCGTGATGACATTTATCATGGCTGCAGGAAAAAATTTTCCAAGTAAACAGTACAAAGTAATCTGATGCTTACAAACTGAGACATGATTTGGTTCAGTTAAGTTATAGTTCGAAATGCCCTCCAAGCACGGCGAGTGTGAACGACATTGCATGCTCACGGTTGGACTTGTGTACTTTGGCAGCGACAGCAGATAAAGTGGAAAAAAATTCTTTTTTAAGTTACGACCATAGCAGGACCGTCTCATTTCATGGCAACCCAGTGAGAAAAATACGACCATACATCAAAAGGGCTTTATGCATGAAATTAGGCACAGAGATGTTTTTGGCATTTTATGGCGCGACTTCGCCGTGTTCAAACAACTTTTTATTTTTTTTACTCCGGTTGCTGTACGCGGATAAACCGGACATATCCAATCTCGTTGCTAAGGCTGGCAGTTCCACAAAGCTGCGACAGTTTATAGTTTGTCGCTGCTTATGCATGCTAATCTAAGTCATTGCCCATAAAGTTTGGCCTTGGTCATGGAACGAGACATGGCTGGAAGAAGTATCTAGTTAAGATTAAACTAGCGTTCTGGAGTGCAAAAGAATTTGGTTTGGAAAAAGGATGTCTACGTCGACAGTTGAATGTGCTATAATGACACCTTTAATAAAAATTAGCGCTCAATGTAAAAGTTATAGATTCATCCTGAGTGAGATTTACATGGAATAACCACAATCTTGCTTTCTTATGAACATTAACTAATTGCATCTTACGACATCCAACTTCCAAACTAATGAGATAGCTAACCTCAAGATAATTGTCGGAGATGAACAGTTTTCAACTAAAAGGTTTGTTACCATGGTAACCGTCATGAAGCTGAAGAACGAGCAGCATTTACCGACAGAATCCTGCTACTGACTTAGTGTCATTTTTTTTAATATCGAATTCAAACATTGGCAATAGGCTATGCTTCTTGTTATTGTGGAGTATTCGCACAAAATAAATTGAATTAGTTCCTCTCATTGAAACCTGAGAAGTCACAGGAAGCTGTTATGAATATTCGGTTTAGTTTACATAAGGTGAAAACAAATTCAATCATTGGTAAGACCATACATTTGATGATCTTAATATTGTGGTATTTACTTTGTAAGAACTTACATCGCTATTATAAGTTTTACGAGGCTTTCCTGAGTAAATGTTAATGGTTTCGTCATTACTTTGTCAATTTTTCATTCAGGACAATTTTTTACACTTAAATTGTAGAAAATACCAAAAAATGTTTTATTTTTCCTAGCAATTGTTTACATGATGAGAAAAAGCGGAAACAACCTCATTGCGTAATGGAGCTCGAATTGTGTATACGATAGACTAGTACGTGACCGCGCGATTTGGGTGCATGCGATTCCGACTTATCACGCTCGATCGTGACCAAAATTAGCTAAAGACAAGTTACCTAACTTAGTTCTCGATCGATTCCACCTTTGCGGTTCATCAACGCGGGACTTATGAGACGAAATTTCGTTCTATTCAAAACATAAATGAAAAATTGTCCCGCTGTCAATAAATTAAACGGAGGTCACGCTTTGGTACTCAATATGGTCAATAATTTTACTGGGGCGTGTCTCCAGAAATATTCCTAATTTAAAGAAAAAAAATCCTCGGAATTTGAGTCAACAAACTTCATATTTTAATATGAATAATAAAATGAAATATAAATATTTAAACGCACAGGGAGTGAATTTGTTTCATATAAATGTGAAATTTCCGACAAAGTTATCAGGATTTTTTGAGTCAACCACATCAGCTGTCGGCTTCTCTCGTCGGTAGACATCAACTTCAAGGGCTGGCAATTACCTGGAAAAGAAAACGAGACCACAAAAATTTAAAAATAAAGATCAGAGTTCATCGCCTGGGCACTAATTTCCAGGAAAAGCTTCAGCCGTGTCTGGCTGGCGAGCGTTATTAGTCCAGTAACCTACAAACTTTCAGATGAAGGTCAAATTTGAAGATAACTTTCTATTGGGTGGAGTCGGGCTCTTGTGTACTTTTTCGCTCGACATAAAATCATACGGAACTGACGTATACGCTTCCAACGAAAAGATTGCTCTACTAATTTTTAGTTAAAATGAAAATATACTCCATAGTTTATATCGTAAATAGTGCAGCTAATTCGATAAAATCCTTCGTTTAAAACATTCGACAGGTCTGCACTCGTCGGAAATTCTGTGCGTAGCCTGCCGAGTCCCCAGCCTATGCCGCCTCACTGTCTGCCGCTGAGACTAACTACTTCGCGTGGCCCGCAGTCTAAGCCGGTATTTTGACTGATGTGATGTTCTTTTTGAATTACATCATCTGCGTTTTATTGACTCAATATCAAACTGTTCATGGTTGATGCCTCTGACTGAAAATTCCATCATGTGAATCACGTAGAATTATATTCGGCATATAAATTATTCCTTCTAATCGGAAAGTTACATTAAAAATGTTAAGGGTCATTTTATTAAATCTAATTGGTAATTACATGCGTGAGTATGCATTGTTATACTAACTCGGAAAATAATAATTAGAAACGCCAGAAAATCATCAGAAGTCTTTAGGTTAATATTTTGTTCGTTACAAGCAGCGATAATGTTACGAAAACTTTCTAGGAAAATTTGAATTTCGTCATCAAATTTTAATCTTTGACATTCTACGAAGTAATCCAGTAAATTCGAAGCGTAAAATAAAGCTCTGATAGTTTTTAGGTTTTTCTTCACACCCTAAATAAATCTATTGCATTGAAGAGTTATTCACTGGATTCACTGATTAAGCGTTTCTCATTTAATCGATTAAAATCTATCAGAATTTCCAAATACGATAATAAGCCAGTCGGACGACCAAGCGCTGCTGGGTTGCTACACTATTGACGTTTAATGACTCGCGACCAAATTGGGTGAAAATCTAGCAGGAAATTCGATGTCACATCCATGAATTAAAAGAACAACAGTCTGCCAAATCTCAACAAAATTGAGCAGCGTTGTGCTCCGCCGTAAAGTTGAAGTGGCTTTTCGTAGCGAACGCTCGGTGCCTATAGGCATCCAGGTCCCAAGACTGAGCCAACCGAATAGGAACATTTCTTGGAAGTAAGCCTGAATCTTGGCGATCAACGCGTGTATGGAATCGATGGATGAAGAATGTACTATTCACATAAGCAATCTGACATAAATTAAATGAATATAGGATGGACATACTTTGAATCAGAAAAGATGGCTTTCAAGGAGCGTGCTTTCTCGTCTGCACAATTTTGTCTCCCGATCATCTGTGGCTTTGAATGTAAATATTCAATTGAGTAAATTGAGCTTCAAGGTGAGATTGTACTGTCCCAGAGGTGAACGAACTAAAGCCCTTGAATGCATGTGCTGAGTAGATAGCACGACGAGAAAATCTAAGCGCAATGGCATGAAAGGTGATATAGAAACACCATAAAATGACATGAAGTAACGACTCTGCATCTGCATGATTCTGGCGCGACGATAGAAGCAATGAGCTTAGGTTACTGGCTAGAGATCAAGTCTTTGTCTGTGCAGCAGATTAATGTTGAGTTCAACGACTAAAAATAGCCGGAAAATGAAATTATTTGCCAGCCAAAGAATATTATACCATGAAGGAAATAAGTAATAATGGAATTTTTCATTTTTTTATATGCCCAGAGGAGTAAATTGCTGTATTGTAGCCGAACGTTGAACTCCACAATTTGTACCCGTTACCTTTTTGTACGAAGAAAGCAACAATGTCACTTGCAAATATTTTTTTTTTGTATGAAAGTGACCTTTTAAAATTAGAAATTCCGATGATTTTTAAAATTGAACACCAATTAAAATTATCTTACCTGGCATCTCTGTGACCCTACTAGACTGGTAGAATCGACGTCATTAATTGAACAAAAATGATCGAGCGATTTATATTTTTGCAGAGTTTTAGTTCTCTGATTAAAATTATCAAGCTTCTGGTCTTGATCACACTACCAGGAGCGTGAGATAGGCTCCGGACTGTCTAGAATATTACTAGAGTGTCCCACGTAATCCTGCGAGCATTTAAATGCACAGCGTTCACAGACACATTAATAAAGCTCCCTACGGCCTGGACGCTGATTACAGGATTTCAAGATCAAGTCCAGCTTTGATAGCGCAATAAATATGCAATTCAAGGTCGCGTTAGTCAATATTATGTGCACAATAGCGTCTCACACTTGATGGTTTAATGCAAGCGACTTGCCGATGCAGATATTAGCGTCTTGAACTTGGGTGGCGGGAGTCTGGCATGTTTATAATAGTCTCCGTTGTAAATAACTGAATTTGACTGGCTCTTATGATTATCTCAGTGGTATGCTCGCTGGTCGTAGGCTTTGAACTAGGAATTGCGATTCACGACCCGAGTTGCCGTTGCCATGCGCATCCTTGCATTGCAAGAATACTTGATTTGACAAGCGAATTAAATCCCCACCATAATTTCTTCAGTTACCGCTTCTTGCTGAGGCCGGACATGAACGGTCACAAGGAGACGCTTAGGCTATGATGCAAATTACATTGAATCTTATGTTTTCTAATATTTGTAAGTTTCACTTAGCCAGTTCATACATTTGATATAAATATACACTTTCTCTGGGGATTTACACTAGTCATTGTATTTATTTCAATTCCATATCTCAATCAGCTAAGTATTTAGATTAGAAGCGTAAATAGACTGACTAATCGGAAAAGTCACGATAAATTCACAATATTACTTCTCACTGAAATGACATTTTCGTACTTCAGTGATACGTTACCTTTCCTAATTTAATGGTTCGTTGAGCCTGACTACGACTTGCCAGACCGTTACATGATTTTTTTAACACAATATAATCAACATGTTATTTATATGTTCAATGCCTACTGCTAAATTCAGGCATTCATTGAGTTCATACAAAGATGCTCTGGAGAGCCGTAGCCGATCGTAGATATGGCAGAAGAGGTTTCATGTTCATTCATTTCAAGACGCAGTTGATCCGCCTAACCGGTTCCTGGTGCGAACCGGACTTCAGCGACCTGCGACCTGGCAAGTAAACGTACATTCTTACTTACCTTGAACTGATAGCACTTCAGAGTGGACGAAGAGCGGCTTCATGGGAAGAACGGGACGTCGGGACTGCCAACATTTTTAAAGTGAATCTTTTGAAGAGCGCTAAGTGAAGCTGGTTATGAGCAGCAAGTGAATCTTTTGAAGAGCGGTAGGTGAAGCTGGTGAAGAGCAGTAGGCGAAGCTGGTGAAGAGCGGCAGGTAAACTGGTGAAGAGCGGCAGGTAAACTGGTGAAGAGCGGCAGGTAAAACTGGTGATGAGCGGTAGACGGAGTTGGTGAAGAGCGGTAGGTGAAGCTTGTGAAGAGCGGTAGGTGAAGCTGGTGATGAGTTGAAGGTGAAGCTGGTGAAGAGCAGTAATTAAGTGAAGCTGGTGAAGAGCGTTAGGTGAAGCTATAGTGATGAGTTGAAGGCGAAGCTGGTGAAGAGCAGTAAGTGAAGCTGGTGAAGAACTACAGAGAATCAGCAGGATAACAAGTTAGGAGCTTGACGTAAGAGATGCAGTCTAAAGCCTATGGGAAAACGTAATCGGACTGGCAATGACATTGAAAAATTACGATTAATGAGAACGATTATAGGTGATGTGACGGGTTTCGTATTAAATAATGTTTGTTTTAGTTTTTCAATTAATACAAAGCGTCTTTGAATGCACGCTGTAACTTAACAAGCCAATAACTCGTTGAAAATATAATATCTTAGCTGTTAGAAGCAGCAGCATCTTCTTCATACAAACCGGTTATGCAGATCACAGCGGGGCCGCACAAAAACCATTTATTCCATTACACTATTCATGAAGTAACTGATAAACGACAGATGATAATCCTAAAATTCACGGACAGTATTCGGCTACATTCGATAAACTGTAATATGATCCTGAAATTTCTTTGGTTATTCGGTCTCGCCGTCTCTCGCTACGGACCACTGTGAGCTTCATCTGAACCTTATTATAGTCCCGTGAAAACCTAAGAGTTGGAATGCGTGACTCTGAGATGGAAAACTGAGCACAATAATGAAGGAAAGCTCCAGGTATTACTCGACATCCTTTCGTAGCCTAGTTACGTTAACCTGCATTACACAGACCGCTTACTAATACCTCTGGCATCCAGCTTGAGTTTAGCCAAAGCTGGCTGGATTGATGTTACTATACTTAAGTAATAATAATCACCGCAATGCAATGTCTAGCGCAGTTAATATGGGTAGGAACTATTACCTATTTAAGTATTAACATATTAAGTGTTTTGAGATGGCACCTATTATAATTATCGATCTAAGAACATCAAACAGGAATAGAGGAACTCAAAGAAATAAAATAAAACTCAAGAGTGCAAACATTAATGTTATAAAGTATAATTTTTTATTGTATAATTGGGGCAATGAAATTAGAATTTTGCACAATGAGAAACAAAAAGTATTAAAATAATAATTTAAGAAACGAAAAAAAAACATTTCCATGTAAAAACTAACAGAAAAACTGTTTGAAAAAGGAAGCAAACTTCATTTATACCGGTAAAGAATATAATGTAAGAATTTACAAACTTGTTAATTTCAATTCACTGATTAATTATTCCTGATGTTATTTTACAAGTTTAATGCTTCGAAACCCATTTCAGCTAATTAATAAAACTATAGGTAAATTATATCGTTTTGAGAAGGGTTGGAGGGATTTGGAGAGAGAAAAATGCAAATCCATATCCATTTCTTGAAATAAATATATGCCATTTAATTTTATATAAAACAAAAAGTTTATTTATTAGTTAGACTAAAGAATTATTTGTGCACTGCTCTTCAAAGCAGATGAATCTGTCTAGGTAAATCACGATAGATGCCATGATAATAAACCTCTATAATAACACTCAAAGTTAAACATCCCACGTCAATCTGCAATATGGTGACATCATTTGTATAATTGCATCAGCGCTGCTGGATCACGAGCGCATGTTCTACCGACAATTTGCAGTCGTCAAGCGTTGCCTTGCACACACCCCTTATATTCATGCTCCCAAGAGCAGGCTCGACGTCAGCTCCATAGCTCGCTGCGTCGATGTCGCCACATTCACGCGAACGAAACACTACAGTCACTCGTGCGAACGGATTTCGGTTGCAAAATTCTGCAATGTTGCAAATATTTCAATGTTACTTTGATCTTTGCAGTGTCAATTAATGGTTAGAATAATTCATGATGAGTTTTCAGTTTTATTTGTATCCAAAAATTTTAATTTTTCTTTTCTACGATGCAAGTTTTTGAATTTGCCTCTAGAACAGCGGCAGAAACTGGCTACTTCAAAATTGGATATTTTAACCATAGAAGCACGGAAGTCGTACACCACTTGAAATACTATGTGAGGTCATTTTGACCTCATGCATGCGTAAAAAATGGTTAATAAGTGGCTGTTATCCCCGGAATCCCATTGGATGAGTGAAATAATATTTAATAGCAAATTTTACAAATTTAAGCTAAACAGTTTCCAATTTGAGCGTCGGTAAGCGACTTTCACGACATGTTGTCTTTACGAGGCGAATAGGAGTACGTACTGTTCGTCCAGTCCTACTGCCAACGTGTTATGTATGAAACCAAAGAAACTGTTTACATTTAATCAAAGAAACCGCTTAAATTATGTTCCTATTTTAACGTGCGAATTTGGGATAATTTTGACCTCATCGTTCTTCTAGTGTTAACTTCAGCGACATAGTTAAAAAAAATATACATAAGGTGGCCGGTCCCTTCTTCAAGGATTATTAATCTATGCATTGGGTCAGTTTAAGGTCACCATAAGCAGCCTGTGCACCTGAGAGGCATTTAAGTCACACGCTGAGGTGCTGGAAGGTCAGCATTTGTGATGAGCGTAATCCTGGAGTTTTAACAGCGCTTGAGGTCACTTAATCCTTAACCGGTTAATGGTCATCATAAAATGGACAAACAAGCTATTAGTCTGATGATCACTTAACAGCAATGAGTTGATGCTAGACTGAAGTAACGAGTGTCTATATACTTATTAAAATGAAATTAGAGCCTTCTTCATCATTTATTTGATACGCGTGTGTTTATTGCAATATTATTTGATTATATTTTTACAGACGAATCATTTACCATGCATTCACCTGTGGTGTCATCCATCGACGGCGCCCAAATATCAGAATTAAAAGTCAATTTCCCGCGTGTGCGTGTCAAACTGAAAGTGGACAACACGGCTCCTTGAAGCGGCTTTAATATAAATTATTGTGAACCGTAGATGCATGGGTAGTAATGAGCAACCAACAAATTTTTAGTTTATTGGTACTGCAGCTCGAATTTGGCATTTTCTGAGGAACGATGAAATTTTTTCCGTTAATTGCTTTCTGAAATGAATTCGGTGGTTTTGTTCACTCTACCTTCAACGATGATGAAAAATTAGTGCATTTTTGCAATCAAATGTTCCTTGCCCTAAAAAAATATTAAATACCTTCCTGAACTCATAACGACAACATGAGTTTGACTTGTATTGAAACATCCTATAACAATCAAATTTTCTGGTTAATAATGCGATATGTCACTACGAAAAGCAGGTTTGCCGACTTCAAGTAAGTAGCATGATGAATAATCGAATAAAATATAATTATTGCGCGCTGTTTTCATTTTAAACTTGAGTATTAGTTGCTTCCCATTGCGATTCCTCAATCAACAATCTATAAAATAACATGAAAACATAAATCTGATACATTGGTAAATACCCGTATAGGAGCACGGAGAGTCAGAAACCTTATAATCAAAAGGGATGAGAAAATGTTGGGTTTCGATGACCAAATGTGACCAAATACTGGCCGTATCCAAACAGTACAGCCAGGTTCATGTGAAGTGACCTTTACAGTGGGCGAGCAGTAAGTTATGGCGACTGTAGTCTTTTGGAGAATGAAAGCAAGCAAATATGAAGAAAGGGCTTAATCTATCCTATGCAATCCTCTGAGCTCACAAAGCACAGCCTTAATTCAACTCGTAATTGGAAGAGGAGCAACCTAAGCTATACGAGTGGTCGGTAAAGTTAGGTAACACATAAAAGGAAACACTCTTGATTATAGATTAATTGTGCAGGGGTAACCGTTATCTGTTCAAATAAAATTGATCACAATTGGAGTCTTCCGAGTTCCGACACAAAGTTACTTCACTCTCATGAAAACATCGTGTCCTATTACATACGTGCTGAAATTAACCAGCAACTTGCATGAATATGAACAATTGGCTCCTTCCAGTGCAATAAAATTGATTACGAACGACTTGCTTGTCCTTGAACGACGAGTTTCTGAATTTTACTGTGAAGGGTTTTTTTCAAGTCTCAACACCTCAGTTCTCTTCAGTACAACATGGAGGCCATCACGATCGGCGGTAAGTCGTGCAAATACCCACAACGAAATGTAGGTTGTAAAGGCACTTCTTGGAAGTTCAATATCGCGGATGGTAAATTTTCGTTGAAAAGATCGCGATTTTGAATAAATGATCAGTTTTATTGCGAAAAGGTTCGAGATTATGTTTCACCTAGACAATTGTTTGTTTAGCTCCACAGCAGTATTGGCGCCAGCGTTGAGTAATCTGAAGTTAAGGGAATTATCGCACAACCATTATGCAGGTCTGTATGGATATTTTTGCCTTTAAAATTATAGCAATAAACATTCAATTCCTAAGAACTGTATTCAAACAGATTAAGAATAACAAGAAATCCTTACCCTTCTTCTGAAAAATTTACTAGTTTCTCGGGAGACTAAATGCGTGTCGTGCAGGACGAGACTCGACGCTACGTCACTAATAATCGCGTATTCCTGGGCAACCCTCGCTGCTCATCCGTCATTCCTGATATAATTGAGAGTTGATTTGGTGTTACAGGTGGCTCCTTTCACCTTGTGTAGGCCGTCGTGCAAGCACCGAGGAGAAGAGCAAGCCACCGGTCAAGGCTTCAGGCGGTCAATGCGCAGCATCAAGTTTCAATGTCTGCTTGCCCCGCAAGGTGGTTGCCTTGCCTCGCTGCCTCTGCTCCCGAGCATCTCGGTTATTGATGCGCCACCGAAGGCACCACTAATTTGCCACGTGTATTCCTCAAAATAGATTAGCATTCTCTAAGTAGCTTTAAAATAAAAGGGCATATTATCAAGTTGGGATAAATGCAGTCTGGATTTGCTAAGTCGACAAAAATTGTAAGGTTATTGGCTTATTGCCCCCTAGCAAGAGTTTATGTTAAATTGAATATAAAAGAAGACAATGCCATAAGTTAGTTCGTGTTTCACGTGTCAAAGTAATAACACTGAACAATGCAGTCTTCACGCATACAAGGCAATACAAAGGTGAATAAACTTGCATGAATATGCCTCGTTTATACAGCGTTCAATATCATTGAGGCCTTTGAATTTTCTGAAATTCTCATTATATCAGATAATCTGAAACGCTGTATAAAAAGATAATGGAAAAGATGAAAGTC